ATTGTATAACGCTATTCTAATTCTTACCTAATAACACCCGATCTGATGATAGTCAAAACTTGAAGGTAGATGTCGTTGGTGAAAAGCAAGAGCTAACCAAAATGCCCATTGCGTAAATTGGACTCGATAGGTAGTTGTTTGATCTCAAAGGCGGGACCCACTGAAACAAACAAGCTCACTTATCCTTATTTTACTGCGCCCGTCCGACACCAATCTCCTTAGCCATTTCCTCAGCGTATGCGAAATGGCTCTGTTCGTTTATTATCTTATTGGGGCGTACGCCAAATTTCGCCAATCAGCATAGGTGTATGACGGAACGTTGCGTCGCGTATATCGATAAATTATGCACCCGTATTTGCGAGACATTACTCTTGATATGTATGACAGTCGAGTCGACGAGGGCCCACCATTGTATCCTTGACTATCCTTGAGAGCTCCATATCGTATTATTGTTCTTCGAATGCAGCTCCGCCTGTTTCATGAACAGAGAAAATAAACAACTGCTCTATTGACGAGATCGACTTACACATCATGCCTATTGTTCTTGCGATTCACTTTAATCCATCTCACTCACTCTGCTATGGCTCCGACCATGCGCCCAGTGCCGACGGATGCCTTCCCGACCCCGACATCCAGCGCCCAGGCTGAGACTGAGAAAGTTTTACTGGACCACTACCCAGCGGGAGACAATAATGCGGCTGCGACCCTGCAGAAGAATGCTCACATGCAATTCCTCATTCGCAATATCGTGCAAGGCTTTCCTGCACGCTACACCAGTCAGGATGCTAGCCAGTCGTGGCTGATGTATTGGACTCTGCAGGCCTTCAGCGTTTTGCAGGTTGGTTTGGATCCCGGCAACAAGCAGAAGTAAGCATTTTGGCGTTTCTTCTGGGGCAATGGCCGATCTCGCCTCACCAGAGCGATTGATACGATAATGGCCTGGCAGCATCCTGACGGGGGCTTTGGCGGTGGTCCACAACAGGCGGCTCATCTGCTGCCGACGTACGCTGCAGTATGTGCATTGGCCATTGCTGGGCGGCCTGGTGAAGGCGGGGGATGGGACCAAATCGACCGGTGAGTAATGTTACCTTGAATGGGTACCTGGGCCGATTGTCGTAAAAGAAAGAAGATGTATAAATTCTTCCTGTCCCTCAAGCAACCTGACGGATCGTTCTTGGTCGCACACCACTCTGAAGTAGACGTTCGGTGCGTCCTCTACGTATTCACAGCAACGTTCCTAACCAATGTCGCAGCGGCATATATTGTCTGCTCGTGACTGCGACGCTCTTGGACATTATCACACCCGAGCTGGTAGACGGCACCGCCAGCTTTGTTGCTTCGTGCCAGACATACGAAGGCGGCTTCTCTTCAGCCTCTCAGCCGTACTATGCCCCCGCTTCTTCCCCCGACGCGCCCCCCACCCTCCTGGAAACACCGCGTCCCCCTCTCGGCGAAGCACACGGCGGTTACACGTTCTGCGCCCTGGCGTCGTGGGTGATGCTCCAGCCATTCACTGCCTCGTCTCCATCGCAGCCCAAAATCAACAAAAAGTCGCTTATGCGCTGGCTTGTGCAAATGCAAGGTGCCCCCGTCGAACTGGGTGGCTTCAAAGGCCGTACGAACAAACTTGTTGACGGCTGCTACTCGTGGTGGGTCGGAGGCGCTTTTGCATTGCTCGAATCGATCGGGATCAATCCTGCTACTGTGACGGCCACCCCAGCGCATGAGGGCCAGACAGAAAAGGAAGGCGACTGGGATGATATTGACGGTGCGTCTTGTTCTCGCGTGGATTCAGTTGATTCTAATATAAACAGATTCACTGTTGAACCGCAAGGCCTTGCAGGAGTACATCTTGTACGCTGGGCAACATCCCGCTGGCGGCTTGCGGGACAAACCTCCCAAGTACGCCGCCGTGTCAGGTCTTTTGGTAGATTGCCCCTGATTTCTGTACTCTAGGCACGCAGACGCATATCATACCTTGTACTGTCTAGCGGGTTTGTCGTCCGCCCAGCACAAAGTATTTCCTTCTCCCGCCAGGCAGAAAGAATTGTTGGATTGCTGGACAGGTAGTTTGTTCCTTTAATTCAAGTGTTGATCTCAAAATTCTCCGATCACAGTCGAAAGCAAAGACACTGACGGGAAAGAAGATGACCTTCGGCGACACATCTTTACGCACGCGCTCAGCTACACCGAAGAGGAGGGCACGGAGACCATCGTCGGCGGTCCACCGAATCGCGTGGTATGACATTTCTGCTTTTCCTTGTATATAACTGACCGCGTCGCATAGAACGCCACCCACCCAATCTTCAACCTGACGATTACCCATACAGAGGCTATAATGTCACATTTCTATGGCCAGGTCGTGCCTCCTCGGATATTTAAACGGGCCGCGAACGTGTGAGCTGAGATTCCACAATTAAGTAAAGGACTTGTATTTCCGTTTCTGTACTTTTACCATGTCCAGGAATATATGTTTGTTGTGCAGGTATATTCCTGGACATGAACTCTTTCTGCTTAGGCTGCCTCATGTGAAGCAGCGACCCGAGACCAAGTCATGAATGGTGGGGGGGGGAAGACAAAAACAATGCCGACTCTTTGAACGCTGCTCCGAGTCCCGAGCGACATCAGGCGTTGGCAGCTTTACGTTGAGGCCACATTCCGCTATATTGCAATTGCACCATCCTGCATCCAACATGAACGATCCGGCCCCTCGTGGGGGAGCTAGAAGTCATCCGAAGTACAGTTGGAGAAAAAATGACTATCGCTACTCTGCTGTCTCGCTTCCCCGCCGAACATGTCTCTCACCTACAAGAGGTAGGCGGGAATCCCCGATCGCACACAGACCTCGTTGACAGGTCCCCTCAATTAGGAAAGCTGTGCTGATCGGCCACTTCACATTAGAATCGAAAACTTCTCAATTGCGGTCTCCATTTGAGTTGAATTTCTCCACAATTTTGCCTACCCTCCAATTTTCATATCCTCTGCACATGTCAGCCTACTCAGAATATTATATTTTTGTCTCGGGACATTGCGGTGAGCGGTTTGATGTTTTGATGGCAAGTACTCAGAGATCAAATTTCTGGCGATGACGCGATGACGAGTGGATTGAGCAAAAGCGGAGAGGGGCTGCAAAACATTTGCGAGTGCAACTTAATACCTACCCAGCGGACCGCCGATCCGGACCCTCCTCCTCCTCGGGTGCACAGCATGTCAAAACTTCTCGAGGTTGATGTCAGGAATTTCACTTCCGCATACCTCTTGCCCACCTAGGAGCTTCCGCTCGATCAACTATATGTAGACTTTCACCCTTTTCCTTGGTGACTTTGCTACATGAAATATTTGATGTCGCAAAAACCATAACCCGCTCGAAACGTCCTGTGATGTGTCCCGAAACACATATGGTTTCTATAACGCGTGAGGCACGAACATTTTTCGTTACTAGAGCGTCTGTCAAGAGAGACTAGTTTCATGTGCCTTGCAGCCTCTTGCAGCACAAGGGTAAGAAATGGGGAAGGTCTGCCAAGCCAAGGGGTGGCTCCCAGACTCTCTCAAGACACCTGGGTGCCAGTCGACCTCCCAATGCAACTCAAGGTTCCACAAGCCATGCTTCCCCAGAATCCCCACACTGTATGCACCCCTTCTCAGCTCTTGATATATTCATTCGGGTGGGAAAAGAAATTGAAAAACAAATATTATTGGAATGCTACGATACAGGATGCTAATATGACAGCAGTAGACAGTGCAAAATGTGAATACTGAATACGGCACAATACTCTTTTTACATGCAAGGATAGCCTGGTCATGATTGATTACTGGCTGAGTGACTTGCAAGGAGACTCGAGGTTTCTCAAGGCCGCAAGCTGACTCAGGCCATTGCAAGACATTTGCCATTTTTCCGACAGATTCTCTCAAAACCTGACAAATGCCCAAGTTAAAAGTGACGGTGAGCATTCAGATAAGCTTTCATTATATGTGCACATCACACTTGGAAGAAAAGGCGATATAGAATCAAGGTGGCCAGAGTGGTTCTGCTGAAGTGTTTCAACAACCGCAACCACCACCATCCCCGGTCCGCGGTTTTTCGTTCCGTTCCTGCTGAGCCTCAGGCACTCTGCAGGGATGATAGTTCATTGTCCTGTACCCCGTGGTCGCCCCACTGCCCCCCGCCCAATTGCCCATTGCCCAATTGCCCAATTGCCTAACACCCTTGCCACTTTGATCATCCTCATCCGCACTTAACATTGCGCATCCAGCTCATGCTGCCTATTCGAAGCTCACAAACAGCATCACATCGTTCCCATACACCCACTCTACCATTCGACACCTCCACAACCATTCGACACCTCCACAACTTTGTAGGGCAGCCAGCACCGTCACTTTGCACACGCCCCGTCGTTTCTGTCGATTTTTTGGTGGATGGATTACATAATGGATCAGCCCACGGATGACCCGGATATCAGCCATTTGGCCGGTCTCATCCGTCCGATTATGTGCCTTGCCCAAGGCCTTGCCCGATCTCGTTTCGACTAACGAGCCGACCGGATTAGAATAGGCACCTTCTCTATAACTTTTTCACTTGGGTTCGTCGAGGTACCTGTACCTGTACCTAAGTGTTATGCACATAGACGAATATCACACTGTCAAATTGTTAAATTCACAGTGTGCAGTAAACACTTTGAATAGGAGACACAGGGTGGATAAGCAAAAGATCGAAGCTGTAGCATTGAAAGCATATGGGAAACATATTTACAATATTTTTCAGATGACTGTTGCCGGCTGTTGGGTGAAATATACAGAACATATTTGAAGAATATCCTTTGTGCTTGCTTTGTTCAAGACTTTCTTTGTATGAGGTTCTATTTTTCCAATCTCAGATATCTGAAACTTATTGTAAATATGTTTCCCGTATCTTCTACATATTCTCCCATGGTTTTTCTGCTTATCCTTCCGGTGAGAGGGAAAGGAAAGGTGCAAGCGTACGGGAAAAAGACTAAAATGATTGCCCACTACCCGAGTCGAACGAGTGATTTTGTCATAACCTTGAAAGTACAAGTGACACGCCTTAACCACTTAGCCAAGTTTTGCGGAAGAGACAAAAAGGTCCATGTCGCATGCCCCTAATCCTTCCCGTGGATGCACAGGAAGGATGCCCCTAAACCACCCTGTGGAGCCACGGGGAGGATCCATCCCGTGGATGGCTTCGTCAGAATGCCCCTGAACGACATTCGGAGGAGTCTATCCAGATATGGGAATCGCTTTGTCAGCACATCAACTCTATTCTCACTGACGCTGAACCGCAACAGTACTAGCTCGCCGTTGCCAGACACTACCCCAAAACACCACCGTTCATCTACTGAACCACCCTTAGGTCTACCCAAGGACTTCTGTCGCATACCTCTCATGGTTTGTCCCGGAGAGCACGACTCGCGCCCAGTTCACCCCAGCTTTGCCAGGGTGAATTTCAGTGGCGGTATATCCGCTGTTCTCACCTTTCGCAGCCAGCGCAACCGCAGCGATTCAGCAATGCACTCACGTCCCAGTAACTTGCCGTTGCAATGAAGTTTAAAACACTTATGTACCAAGATTGACGTATGTTCTCTCACTCACACGGGTACGCAGGTGTACCTGCAGATCTCCGGTCATATGCACGACACTCAAACACAGCTCAGAGACCAATCAAATGCGACACCCACCACATTGTACCACCACCAACCTGCACACTCGAGTGGACTGAGGCAACCGAACTGGATGGCGGACCTGGCGCTCCGGCAGTACCCCGACAGCGTGGCCGGCTCGGACGCGAAAGAGAAAGCCGAGCGCAAATGGGAGCAGGCGAATGTACTCGTTCACTGGTGCGTCTCCTGCCTTTCTCTGCCCCAACCTGTCGCCCTCATACGCGCTGTTTCCAGGTAAATCCCGGCTTGCGACAGCATCCCCACTCGCGGCCAAGCTCTCGCCGCTGGCGGAACTTACAGCGGCGCCGCTCACGTCGTGACGCGCCGGTCTCGCACACTCCTCGCTCCGCATGCCGCACACGCAGAGACGGCGGCGCATTCGCCGTTCGTTGTGCGTGCGCGGCTCGTGGAGGAGCGTGGTGCACACGTAAGACGCATAACAAGCAAGACTCACGCGCACCCCCACTGTCCTCGTCCTCCAGCTCAGGCGCCGCGCACACATTACACCCTAACTTTGCCAGGGTCAAATCTCAATGTCACCAAAACGGCACCAAATCTGAACTTTACACAATTCATAGTACAACAATAGTACAACTTGACTACTACACTAATCTACAGCGTCCGTGTCAATCTCCGCAAAGTCTGGGGGATGACTGTCGCAAAAATCTATCACAAAGTTTGCAGCAGCGGGGAAAACAGTCATCAGCATATTATACAGCGCACCCTTTGAGGTATTAAAGTTGTCCGTCAACATCTGTCCGTCGTCTGCAACGGCCGCCTGAAGTTTCAATAGTGTCTCTGCAAAGTCGTTGTCGCGGTGATTTGGTTCGAGGTTCCGTGGGCTCCAAAATGGATCAAGCAGCAAATTGAGACCAAACTGCAAGGCGTGAACAGAAGAAGCGGAAAGGAAAAGAACCACGTACCGTATGATAGACCATACACAACCTGTTGCGCGCCGTGACTTTGGCCTCGTTTTCTTTCTTCCATCCAGCATAGGTCCCCGGCGACCCCTCTGCCTTGTACATCTCGTTGTAGAGAGCTGTCTTGCGCCCCGTCCCGCCCTTTCCATCTCCGAGCTTCTTGACTTCGAGACTAAACTCAATTGCGTTGATACATTGGAGCAGGTTTCTGAGGTAGGTCGAAATGTCCGACATTGTTTCTTGGTTCACGAGATTCTAGCAGAGGTGAGTATACGTGCATAATTTCCCGATCAACACACCTTGTGTCGAAGCAGCAGGCGTTGCGGCAGATCTGCAACATCTTCGTAGCGCAGTTCACCTTGCAAGAAATCTTGCATAGAAATTGAGCGCAAATCAACTTTTCCAAGAGAGGTGCGCTGAGGATAGGTTAGGCAATGTCAAAAGCCGCTGAAATCAACAACGAACCCAGCTTTTGATAGATCCATCCTCGTAGGGAACTAGAAGTTTCGCCAATGCCAACGTCTCCTCGTCTACCAGCAGTGGCTTCCCTTTGGGAGGGGTGAGAGTGGCGTAAAAGTCTTTGGAGTTGAGCATTTTGAGGGATTTTGCTTTGTCTGCGATAACAGCGGCGCGTTGAAGACATCGCTCCGTCTTGACTTCCTTGTTTGCACCATTTTTAGAGCTCGGTTTCAGGGGTGGCTGAGAGAAGATGTGAGGATAAAAGCATAGCTAGGGCCAAAGGATAACTTGCAGGGGGTCGGGGTGGCTGCGCTGCTGGTGGGGGTTCCGAGGACGCGCGTTCAGCTCGGGACGACGGTGGTTCAGCAGGAAGCGTGCCGGCCACGCGCAAAAGCCTTTTGCGTAAGTTGACTTTGTCGATTTGAGTGGTTGGGCTGTTGGACGCGACACTGTCGACGCTTTCCTCGAGCTGCTGCAAGAGCGCAAAGGCAGCCTGCATTGTCGCGTCGAGGAAGAGAGCCAGCACTGCCACGCGTCACGAGGTGCCGAACAAATGCCGAACTCCCCAGTGTTGGGGAGTTCTTTCTTCAACCACAACCACTACCCCTCTTGAACCACTACAAGTCTATCGCTCAGGCGCGTATACTACTTTCTGCCTCTCGCCTATTTAACACCGCTTCCCTTGTAGTTTTCCACCACCTCGTCTTTAATCCCCCTCTTTCGTGTGTGGCTTTGCGCTACTGCGGAATCAGCTGGTCTTGCACCAGTTGAATGTCAAATTGGACTTGCTCTAGTTGACAGAGGATGGCGGATCTACTGCAATACCGCAATGTGCATGGCAAGTCTGTTCGTTTGCATATTGCTCGTTTAACATCGCGCAGTTACATTAGGCCCATGGGACGGACGCGTAGGAGCTGTCATCAATGTCGAGGGAGCCGATTGCTTCGTCACATCCCACGCTCATTACATCCCTACACTTCCGACCTCCTCCGGCAAACTATCTATTCGCACAGATATGCGCTTCGGGCCAGACGATCCCACACTGTGGCCGCACATATTCAGCCACGAATTCTGCCATTTCGGGGCTATTCCCCGCAGATCCCAGGCCGATGCGCTCATGTGGTGGAATCCCCAACCCTCCGACTTTGTCTGTCCCCAATCTGGCAAGACCCTAACGCGAGGTCTGGGCAAGCTAAGCCAGCGCCGTTTCTCCGGACTCGCATCACTCGTGCACGGAGCTCTGGGGAGGTACAAGGCATACACCGAGAGCACCAGCCCTCCTGCTAAAATCATGCCGTGGCTGAACGGATATGTCCAGAGTCTGCGTCTGGGACTGGATCGTCTCCAGAGCCTGCCGTCGACCTATAGCCGTATGGTTCTTGGCGTAACGACTCTGCAGCGCAGCTATCTCGAGCTGACCGCTTTTCTTGACTACATGATCGTTTACAAGCCACGCATGGAAGACCCGAATACCGCTATCGAAGGCCCACCAGATGAACGTCTCGGTGTCTTCACCTTCGACGGAGAGATCGCCCAGAAGCTCTACATGGCCAAACTGCCTTATTGGTACATACGACCGTTGGCCTTGTTCACCGAAGGCACCAACATACTTCAAATTGTTGTACCCACCGAATCTACCCGTTCGTTTGAGTTGGAGGCTGCCCCCGGCTACCCGCCAGTTGACGTAGGTCCGAAATTCGAGGACAGAATGTACGCGTTGCATCTGTGTACCCGAAACGCACCATGGTATCGAGATCCCGACCAAGTCCAGACCGTGGCCGCACCCCGTTCCATCACCCCGGCTATAGCTGGTCCCAGCCGTGCACCGAAGCGCCAGAACAGCCATCCCTCGCCCTGTGAGATTCCTTGTTCATTTGAAACTGTTTCCAATTTACTGACTGCTCGCAGATTCTAAAAAACAGGCAAAGTCGAAAACGAAAGTGACCCAAGAGCGTGACAAATACAAAGTGGTCGTCAGCCCACAGATGGCCCCTGCGATCGCTTCTTGGGCGCAAGCGCTAGCCAGAGTCGACAGATCCCGACCACCCACGCACGTTGCACTCCAAGCTGGATCTCTGCCGCGGCAGCTGTATATGATGCCAGAGCCTGCGCTACTTGTATATTCCCCAGACCCCGCGCGCTCTCAAATGTTTCTTCACCACTATCAACTCCTGCATGACGCACTTTTGTACCGTTTCAGCGACACGGACCACCCCTACAAGTCGCTCACTGTGCAAGAATGGCGCGATGTTTTACGCGGCCTGCTTACCGCGCAGGGCAAGTCTGGGTCCAACGTCGAAATTCGGACTACCTCTATCGAACAGCTGTTGGGGCCAGCTCTGCGCGCATGTAACATCAACGCGCTGGATGGGTTTCCTGCCCAAGAAATCCCTTTCACATCACCAAATCGGGCGAGGGAAATAACTTGGGAGGCTGCCGAGATCAACTTCCGTTTTGAGATGGTGTCCCTTGACCAATACGCCTGTGGTATGAAGCGAGTTGGGCAATGCTTGGACTGTTTTCCAGGCAATACCCTTATCGCTCAATTGAGCGAGAGCAAGCTGGGGTTTGCTGCCGACACACCGCAAGAACGCCTCCCGCATCTCTTGCATTTAGCTTTCCTCATGCGCGATTGGAACGTCCACCCCCGTCCCGACATCATTATCGAGGCCCACGAGCACAAGGAGTGGTCGCAACGTGACATGGCCCTGCTGGAGGAAAAAATCTCAGAGTACTATACGCAATGCTATTACGAATTTTTTGGACGCGCGGCTACCGTACCGCTGAGGCTGGAGCACGAGATTGTGGAGTAGAACTACGGCGGATGGAGGACAGTTATCTTGATTTCGATTACCTTGCTATGTACTATTAGTTGAGCCGAAGTATGTTCAAGACATTAGAAAGAACTATGTGATAGAGATGTACATGTACTGAATTACAAAACAACAACGGCGCGTCCCTTGTTTTTGCCAGTGCCAAAGAGAGAGTGCTCAAGCAATACAGAATCGGAGAAACATGTGAACACCAGTCTGCGACCACCTGTCACAGTGGCGCCACAGTGTGCAAGGAGGCGTGTGCGAACAGCCAAGACTTGGCCAGGTCGAAATGGTATACGGACTCCAATTTGCGGAGCGCAAAATTCGCCACCCGTCCACTCCTGTCCGTCCTCGGCACAGGCCACAATGAAGGTTACGAAGGCCAAGTTATCATTGAAATCGAGGTGGATCTCCTCGCTCGATCCTTCTTTTGCCGCCATACAGAAAAAAACGCCGTCGAAATCGAGCGCCGGGCGCTGGGCGAACTCCTTGCGTAACTTTGCTTTTACACGGTCGTGCACCCTGGAATGAATGAACATAACAGAAAGGTCAATGAGGACAAGATACATACGGCTTAAGTAGCCGCAACTGGTCGGGAACGTGCTGAGCCAGCAGACGCTTGGCCTTGGGGAGAACGAGATCCTTGAATAGCTGCAGCAAGGCATCTATGGCAGCAATAACTTGGGAACGTTGCGGTTCAGGGAGACCCTCCTGGCGCGAATCTCCGGTGATGATGGGCATTAGCTTATACAGCTCCCATACGCCAAAATGCAGAGCCGGCGATGAGGACCGCGCCAACTCTGCAGGTGGAAACTGGACACCCAGGGAGACGAGCAGTTTGTAGGCAGCCCACAGTTTATTCTGGGCTGAGGGAGATATCACCTGAGAGAACCGGATTCCGAGGTATGGAGGAGGACCGAACAATTCCAGGGACGTTTTCATTTCAGGATGCATTTTTTTGAGAGTGTACTTTGGCATGCCGGCGGGCGCAAAGCATGCTGCCTGCTCTGGCGTTAGTTCGGGACTGGGAATAAGGACAATATCGTTGTCGTCCTCGGTAATTTTGGGAAGATTTCTGATGTCGCCAATGTCCAATTTACTTATGACTTTCCGAACTTTTTTGGCATTTTTCAAGCAAGACACAAACTCCAGGGGAAAGGTGGCCGGGCGGATCACCTCTGTGTGGAGCTTAAACGGAGGATATTAAATCTACAGGCAACCTACTGGTAATGCTCTGAATTTTTTTCTGCCCCAGAGCGTGTACTCCGTTGGGCTGCATGTATTTTTCTTTTCGTGACGCGCTGCCGGCCGAGGATCTCGCACCACGGTGCGGTCTGGGGTTGCGCTTTTTGTTGCTCATTGGTGGGATGAGACGGCGACGCGGTGGCGGCAACCAAAAACCAGTGCTATTATATTATATTGTAGAGGATCTGCGCGAATTCGAAAGGAATGTGTGTGGTTGGAAACGAGGAAAATGTTGTTTGGTAGTGTATCATTTGAGTGTCATCGCCTCCATTCGTGGTGGTTGCAACGTCGAGCCTTCAAGACTGTAATCATGATTTGAGCTCAAGTTTGAATGAAGGCTTCAACTCTCAAGCATTTATACAACTGCGTTGATTTTTGTTCGAAATTCACTCAACTCGGGCGGGTCAAAGTCCTTCAACTCAAGCTTGTAGACCACCGCAAGGTACGTCCTGTTTAGTGTCAATTCAATGCACTATTAACTCACTTTGTATTTCCCAATAGCTCGAGGCTATTGACCGCGTCGATCATTGATTCAGGTTGAATCTAATTCAATGTATTTCATTTCCCTCCGGGCTGGTCTAGTGCGTCGGGCGCCGCAGGCAGTTGAACTGGAGCGAGCCGGCGGGGCAGCCCGGTAGATCTTGCTTACGAGCTCTGCCTGATGGATTGGCTGCGGCGCCGAGTCCAAGGGAACGCGCCGCAGGCTTTTCGATGGTTCAAGACAGGTTTCATGCGCTGCGCCGGCGGCCGCAGGCAGTCCATCTCACGCGCCTGTTTGACTTTTATTCTGCCCGATGGACTTGGCATTCCGGGCTCATCGCCGGCTAATTTTACACTGACGCGAAACACAACAGGCTTCATCATGTCCGACTGGGCGGCGATGATCAAAGGCGTGCAGCCCGCGCTCGCGGGACTGGACATGAACATGCCTGGGTTTGTGGCGTATGTGCGTGTCGTGCTTTTCTTCTTCTTTTTCTTTCCTACCGTTCTCTTTTCTGGGTTCCTATTGTTCTCGATACTCGAAACTATCCTTCCTTGCATTCTCTTCTGGTCTTTGCGATTTTTCCTTCTCGATTGTCCTTCCCCACGCGTATCATACCGTTCTTTCCTCACTACCATGTTCTCGTTCACCTTCCGCGAGCTTCGCTTTGCAGGAACGCGCGCAGTGTGTCGCGGATTCGGACGGTCTTTCGTGACGGATGCACGTCTTGGATGCATCCGAACTTCTGCGCAACTGCGCGCTTTTCCCCTCATGCAGTGTTCAACTTCCAACCCTCAACCCCCTTTTTCCGCTCTCATCCTTTTCTAACACATTCCCTTTATTCAAAACGAATGAGTGCTATACGAGTCAACTCTAACGCACCCACAGGTCATCCGCACCCTCACCGCGTGGTACAAGCTCGGGCAGGACAAGGACTCCCTCGAGGTCAACTTCTCGCAGCTCACGCAGGCGACGTTCTTGGATGGGGTGAAGGTGAACGAGCATGTCAAGTACGTGGATTGTCTTCCTATCAATTTCACGCTGCTCTCAATTCGTGGCGCTATCGATTTCATCTTGCCGTCCATTCCGGGCGGGCCTTTGCGCACAGCACCGGCGTTGTCAATGACGGGAACCTCGCGCAGGTGCGCGTCTCTCATCGCTTTTATTGACTAAATTGAATCCAACCATACCGCGCTGTTTAGCGATGCGAAGGGCTTGGATGGGCAGAGCACTGCGAGTGGGAGGCTTGTGTATACGATGGCGAACAATAGGGATGATTTTATTTGAGTGAGTGAGCGAGTAATGGAAAAATGAAAGGAGGGACTGCGGCGCGTAACTGGTTCTCGAAACAGATAGTCGAAAGGAACAAAAGGTGATGCCCACTACCCGAGTTGAACGAGTGATCTCAGCATGTGCTTCAATATACAAGTGCTGCGCTTTAAACCACTTAGCCAAGTGGGCTTTAATGAGAGGTCGAGCCAGAATACTACATATTTCGGAGTCGACGCAAGACGGCTGCGAATCGGCCGTAAACAGAATGTGTCACGTGGCAGCCTTACACTTTTTCACCATCGACCATGGCGCCCTTCTCCCATGGGCTCGTCTCCGTCGGACAGACCCTTCCAATCACTCACCGAGAAGTTCTCCTCAAAGCCTTTTCGCTCGACCCCGCTCGCCTCGCTCACAAAGAAGGCACTCCTGCAGTACATGAATATTCCCCAGAACACCAGCGTTCAGAGCATCGTTCTTTTCTCAAGTCTCTTATCGCTCGCTGAGGCGCTGGTGGAGGGTCAGGAGCCGTGTCCCACTGGTATGCAACCCCGCTTCTCTCACCAATGTAGGAAATTGACCTGGTGCAGCCAAAGTACAGAAACTCTGCAATTGGACTTTCTTCTGAAGCCGGGACTTTGCGGTGCGGCCTTGTGGTCAGCCCCTCCCATACAAGGCTTCGGAAGAAGGCTTCCCTTGCTTTTCATCCGTGCACACGCTGGCTCAAACCGATATCGTTCGACGAAGGATGGGAGAGAGGAACCGTGTCCATTCAACGGTATGTACCTCCATCTCCCTCGCATCTACATAGAATACTGAATCAAACTCCAGGCTATCCGCGCAACCACATCACCGCCTTTTTCGTGGACGAATTCGACTTGGGTCGGGTTCGTCCAACTGTTCTGGCATCCGATCTTGCGTCGGGGCCCGTGTCGTCCGATCCTGCATCGGTTTCACGTTGAGCATCACTCGCCCTTTGGCAATCCCAACATGCCTCCCCAGGCACGGACACCTTTACCTTGTCTCACCCGTCATGTTTTCTCTGCGCTGCTCGTGTCTTGGTTTCTCTACGTGGCTATCTTCTTTCTACCTGGTTTCTCTGCGTGGCTATCTGAACATTTTGTGTAACTTCGTCTACTGCTTTGGTCTCTTTCACTTAGCAAAATGCCGCCATGGATGTTGAATATATATAGCTATATCGGGAAAATAAGAAGTGCTGTAAAGCGAATACGGTCGCGCATCGCGGTCACGCAGTGCGGAATGAGATCATCGCATTGGGAATCTGACAGCAGAAAGTCGGCCAGTCGGCGCGCCTTTCCTTCGTCGCCTTTCGCTTTTCTCTTCTCTCCCTCAGCTCCCTTCAGATGTCCTCCGTTAAAAGAACGGCGAGTCTTCTTATGAGGCTCGCATTACTGCGCTCATTGTGTTCTTCTAGGCCGACACGGCATTGTCCGACGACGACGGCAGCACCAAGAAGAGATCGCGCACCCTCGAGCGGCGTGTCCAGCGCACCATCATCTCAGATGTACGTGTCCTTTCTGTGTACATAGCTGTTGCTCATCTACATGAAGGATGAAGATGACGCGATGGGTGTAGATGGGGAACCTTCTGCCAGCGGGGGCATCAGCAACTTGGTCTCGGTAAGCAATGCTCACCACTGTGATAGACCTTCTCATCTCTCTCAAGAACGATGACACAAGGGTACCTGCTGTGGTCGTCAATGGCGGTGACCAGACACGCGAGGTAATTGACCTCGTCTCTTCTGTAGGTCGCGTTATGTTTTTGCGATCGTTACTTGACTTAGCATTCTCAAGGATGGACCTACTGCGGTCGTGGATGAGCGCCGGACGCGTCAAGTTGCGCCCAACGTCATTGACCTTGTCTCATCGGTAAGGATTGCTATCTTGATATGCTTTCCGAATATCACTCATCTTTCTCAAGGATGACGATGATAACGAAGCCTCTGTGCAAAAGGTTAAAGGAAAGGGTAAAGCAAAAGTCCAGGTGAGCGCATATTCATCTTGGCCTCGTCTGCGTCTGATTGAAATTCAGGCCATCGAGAAGCCAATAGTCGCCAGGAACAAGGGCAAAGACAAGGCAAAGGTGGAGGTATGTTTCGATATGCAGATTTTCTTTTATGTGTATCCCTAACTTGCATCAAGCCTATCGCAGGGCCCAGCAATGCCAGAGCACAGACAACTACAAAGGTTGGTATATTCTTTTTTCGTCCGGCTTCAATGCTGACTTTTGTTACTAGGTTGTCAATAGCAGCCCGAAAGAGCGTCGCGCAGCTCGCCATCGAACTGCTCAAGCATATCCTGAGCATGCTGTTGAGCAGCGGAAAGAGAGCGGTCGCTCTCGTAGCCCGATGATCGCAGACTTCTGGATCAGTGTTTTTACACATCTGGCCCAGCGTGAACTCGCTGCACAAGAGGTCAAAACAGCAGAAATGACTGACCTGGAGTTTATTCAAATTCAAGTAGCTGTTTTCTGTAAAGCAGAGAACCACGTTCCTATCCCGCCCTCGGACCCTATCTGGTCAACATTTTCGCCCAGAGTCGTCGAGCTTCTTGCGACGATTGGACGAGACCCCACAGGATGGAAAGCTCAGCCGTTCTTGGATGATGGGACGTTGGTGCTTAGCGAGCGTGGTGACCCCCCGCCCGACTCCGCCTGTGCTTGCTACCTCCGCCAGATCGACGTGCCAGAACCCAAGAAGGCGCTGATACTCTACCTCCATCACGCTGCCGATGCAGCAAGCACGGTGCTGCAACTCATCCTGCAGGGGAGTAGCATAACTACCATCGAAAAATCATTCCACGCGGCGATGATCCAGTATGGGCTGGAAGATGGTGTCGCCAGCTTCTTGGACTACGTCAAGAAGCACCCTGCCACCGCAAAGCTTCATGGGATCCAACATTCTTCATCTCCTCAAACACGTCCTTATACCGGCATCACCGCCCGCACTGCACCTGGCGACCGCGGCTGGAATGACCTGGATGGCGAAAGTGATGTCCGCATTATCAACTTTCTGAAAGATAATAACCACACGCTTACTTGGACGACGTATCACATCCCAGACATGGACACCCCAATCACAGATCCTCTGGACGTTCGCACCTCAATACCAATCAGCCAAAAAGAGCGCATCATACGTGCCTTGTTAGGCGGTGCTGCCATGAATTCCGCGCATGGTGGCGTCCGACCTATACATCTTCCATCTGAGCAGTTTGTTCAGCTCAAGAACCGCGTAAGAGAGCTTGGACCGGCCCCGCATCCATTCCCCCTAGGCCAAGAGCGGGATTTGACTTTGGAAGGTCGGATTGGTCAGCTCATCCACGACGAGATCAATGCGATTAGGCGGGCAACAGGCAGTAAGATCTCGTTGCGCGGCCTGGCAGCAGTATTGGAAACGGGTACCGCTTTGAGGAACTTGAAAGGAAAGGTTGTGAAGTTGGAGGTCACAAAGGACATATCGCGAGAGGCATACGAGGGACATACCGGTGCTTACTGGCATGGGACTATAGGACAGGGACCACAAGAACACCGATATATGGCTCACCTACTCAATCCTACCGGAATCCCAGAGCTTGGTAACCTTCTTCGAGATGTGGTTGCCCTCTACCTTGGCCCTACCTTTGACTTCTGGCGTCTCCTTCTCCGCCACATCCTCTATTGGTTGCATGTTCTCTTCCTGAGCCGCATGCTAATCACCATCCGCCCCCTTCTTGTTATATCACAATCCAATCCGGTCGCTGCGATGCTACGTTCTGGCGATCTTGCAGCTGTCTGGAGATTACTCTCAGGGGACGAGGCTACTGCAATCTTGGACGGCCAAACACCAGCGCATATTGAAGATAGGTTACCCACTCGCCGGTACCGTGAGATGCGGAAGGGCCAGTTTACTGCAGTTATCGGCAGCATCAACATCATCCCAATTGGCCAAGACCCCGCTGACCTGTCCCTCCACATCCCCCACGCTGATTACGGCAGATTGAAATATGATCCCATTCTGGCACGCCTCCGCTGGGATGTCGACCACTTGGTCGAACTTATTGCAGAGACGGTCACCCGTATTCTTGCGGCTCATCTTCGTAGCGGCGCTTCTATTGTCTGGACGGATGCTGATGCCGTCCGCGGCTTCTTACAGGGCGTCAAGACAGACACAACCACCATTCTCTCCCAATCAGGTCTAACAGCTGCTCTCGATTCCGCTAAAAATTCAGCACGTCATGCAGAATTGGCTGTGAATTTCCTCCGCGTCCTCAGCTCATCCAAGGTCGCTCACGAGGAGTGGCTTGAGTTTGGGGGCTTTGACCAGCCGCGCAGAGTGGGAATTCTCGCACTTGGCCGTCCACAATCAGACGAGCGCCGTGACCAGCTTGATGACATTCTTGTCCAAGCCAGGGAGCTCGATTCGTATGACTTACCTCCTGATCCCAATTGTTTTGGGTCGTTCCGACACCCCATTCTTTCCGAGACTTTCCCACCGTGGTTCCTTGGACTCAAGAAGGACACGGACATCGTCTATGCCTCCAATGCTCTTGGCCGCGATGAAGAGGCACATCAGGCTGTAGAGGCTAACAGCGAGAGGTTCTCGGAATGGCGCCGCAATACACCCGTTGTTGTCGACCACATTGCAATTCTGCGGAAGAATCTGATCCAAACAATACGGGAGTGTGCGGAGGGGAGCAGCTATCCAATTATTGACTTTTTGGATTGCTCACGAAAGATTTTTTGCCCTGATTGCCGTTCGTTTGGGATTGGACGCCATTCTCAAGCAAAGCATACCTGCATGATAGGCCCGCGTACTGGCGAAGGACGTCCCCTCTCTGGAACTCATTTCATCGATGTGGAGCGTGTGCTGTATGTGCATGATATCATTAACAACAGGCTGATGCTCGAGGTATTGGGCGAGATTGAGGACGTGTTGGCAGAGCTGCAGCTCATTGCGGTTCCGGTCAAGACAATCCTGGATTGCCCCTATCAACAATCCGCTCTTCAAGCTATTTTGCCTGTTATCGACTTCAAGGCAATACGGGCAGCACCTACCCCTGATTGCAGCGTGTATGTGCCTCGACACCGTGTTGACGATAAACGGCTTCTGTTGATCCTCGCTGTCGATACGGTCCTCTCCACAGCATCCACTTGCCCTCCCAGTTTTATGCCTCTCAACCCCGACACCCGTTCTG